AAATAAACAAGATAAACATATGCCATCAAGTTCACTGCTAGAGTCAGACCTGCGTTATTACCAAGTCTTTTGTGATGTTAGTAAATGAAATAAGGAAATCAATAAAATCTAAGTAAACCAGGTATTAAGCTGGTCCCACGTTTCATGAAAGTTATGATGTGATTGCAACTTGGATTTTAACATTTATTGAATCAGAAAACAATTTATGTCATGTTTAGTTTGTGCATTTGTGAAAATTCTAATTATGATCATAAATATTTTTTTCATATTAATTCCAGATTTTGCCGGATCACGGTAGGCCGCTGAGCACGGTTGCTTCCTAGGACAGAGAGCTGCTTATAAAGCTAAGAACTTTCAGACTGTATTTTATTTCATCATATTAGATGAGCATGTCAACTGATACAAGATCTACAAAAACACTTGAGACAAAATGCCCCTGAGATAAAATGAATTTATTATCAAGAGGTAACTGGGAAACATATTTTTGTTTATTTGTTGTTATGTTCTTCATCTTCTTTTAATCTTTTTTTTTCCTTACAAAACTGGGAATATTTCTTAAGCTGTGGAAACATGAGGGTTGAAAGATAATTTTCATACCATTGGGTATTGCTTACAGCAAAATGTTTATTTGTTTATATACCTTATAAGAGTATGTGCATTTATAAGTGTATACAGTATAAGTATATAGTATTATTCTGTCTGTGAAGGTGTTGCATGCCTACCACATTAGCTTCAAAAGTGTACTGTACATACATAGTAAAAATACATACAAATATTCACAGAATAAGCACTACGTTACTATATTCCTGCTAACAGAAATGGTTATAGACAGGATTACAGTATAAATGCAAAACACTTTGAATTGCTCTCCTACCTCTAAGTTATGGTTTCAAGACCACACTGTTGTAGCGTTTTGTGTTAAGCTTGTGATATAAGTTGTTTTTGAGAGGATTACACTGTTCCACATTGAGAAATATGCCAGGTTGCATGTACAAAATGTACAGCGCATCTCAGTGAAGTGAATTAACAACAAAGTACAAAATACTTTCCCATGTTCATATAAAGAGCAGGTCACTCTCTCTTATACTACTACAAAAATAGTGTTTGAATGCTGCAGGCAGAGGTCATTCACATACATTTTTATCATAGGTTTTAACAGCAATGCATATAACAGAGTGATATACAGTCATGTTCCACAATCACTGGAACAGCAAAAAGGACAGATTGTCTTTTGATTACAGAAGAGCAACAAACTTTTACTCTACAGAAGTAGAACCCGAACCTGAAGGTACAACACTTAACCACTGCGTGTGATTTTTTTTCCCATGAGTTTCAATTTAACAAGTCAAGACCAAAAAGTTCAAGCATAAAGGGGGGAACTCGTCGAACTGTACTCGTGTACTTTAAGCGCAACAAAAATGCAGGTGACAAATCCGTCACCTTAAACCTCACAAACCTCACTTCTTTAACACTCTATGTTGTTACACAGCTTATAAGTGAACTCAGCAGACTTTAGGCACCTCGTGTGCCAACTGAGAAAGTGTATTATCCTATAGCTAAACTTAACTTAAAGAAGAGGTTCCCAACCTATGGATTGTTTATCATTACCAGCTTTAGAACATTTACTACTTGACAGAAAGAAGAAGAAGAAAAAAACTCTACAGATAATTAAATGTGTACAGATTGTGTCTGCACATCATGTCCCGTTTGTCACATTTGGTCTATATGTATCAGCTATATGTATCAGTATAAATATGTAGACTGAGCTGATGGTTCTAGCAACAAGAGTGCGATTTTTCGCAGCTCAGCCTGAAATATTTTGGCACATCTCAGCACATTTGCTTCTGATTTCGATGATGTCGACAGGGTAAAGCTTATCTCACATTAGTGATTTACATCAGTGGATGTTAATAAAATGTCTCAACAACAACAGAGGATAAACTGGTCCATTAACTTTCCAACTTTTAGACCAATATTTACAATTTTTGGTGAATACTTGACTGATTTTTGCAAAACCAATAACATTCCTGTAAGCTTTCAATATACGTTTAGTGCTAATTAGAAAATGTGAGCATGCTAACAAGCTAAGCTACAGTGGTGAGCTTGTTGTTCAGTTAACTTCGCAAATATAGCATGCAAATTTTAGCATTTAGTTCACAGAGTTGACCTTCCTGTGGACTGTATTTATTTTTCTCATTCAGCAAATAACTTCAACAAGAACCTTTACCTTTTATTCACTTTCATATCTGGTTGGACATACTGGACTGCTCCACAGGTACACTGTAGGAAAACATTCAGTGTGGTAAGCACAGTTGGGAACCCCTGTCTTTAGAATAGTGAGCAGAAATGAAGAAACAAATCCTTCTTGTTTTGGTTCGGGAAGCACAGAGACACTTGCTTTGGATACCTTGCTGTCAGTTGCACTGATCACTGTTCTCTATCTTTAATTATATTCTCTGTGCTCTTTTACCTGATTTTATGCAGTATTTTTTTGTTTTAGATTTTTTTTTTACAATGCTACATTGGTTGCAGAGAACTTCAGTCATCAATAAAACTCAAGCCAAGAGAACAACAGCCAGCAACACGAGTGCTCGAAGTGCAAATTTGACACAGTATGGCATGATGCAAAATAATGTCATTGGTCACAGTAGAAGACACGGTTGCATGCAGCTAAAGTGACCTCTATTATTGTTCTTGAAATACTCATAGAAATTTAAAAAAAAAAAAATCCTTCAAGCAGGTGTCATTGTGGAAATGGCAACAACAAAAATCATACACGGAAAAATATACACTAAAATGTTTTATGTTGTCAAACAACCTTAAACATCTACTGTACAGAGGAGCAAGATCTTAAGCATGTACAGCTATACAAATGTTGATGTGCATGTTAACTGATGTGTAATATTAACAAAGAAAATAATATGGAGGGCCACCTTCCCCATCAGTTGGGCACTTTAGGCTCAATTCTGAGTGAGGCTTCATACATGCTTTCTTCATCCAGAACAGAGCTTTTGTCCAGCAGATACTGGGCTACCTAGAATATGGGGGAAAAAAAGCAAATTTAAGGACTTTTTATTTGATTTTATTTACTATTTTCACAGTTTAAACAATACTAAACAGAAGCAAGTTATTAGTTGCAACCCTCAGTATCAGTATCATTATGTTTATACTGTAAATTTTGATTATGTGAACTAATGAGTTACTTTGGCCTGATTTTGATTTATTTGAATAATATAATACAAACAAGAACACAAAACATTAATCACTATTTAGGCAAAACAGTGTTATGCAATATATCTAAAAGGGTCCCAAGCATTCATAACTTATCTTTTTGAAACATTTCCACCTTGAAAATTAAAAACTAACATCCCACGTTTTTGCTGTTATTGGAGGACTTTACCTGTTTCTTTCTAAAAAAATACTTTGCAAAGATATAGAGGAACTTAGCCTTTGCATTTACAAGATGCAATCGAACAGCTAAGAGAGTGCCTACATGAAAGCAAAACCTTATTTAATTTTTTTTAACCTCTATTCAATGGTGTCTCCTTGCATGGCCATAAACTGCATCCTGCTATTTTTTGTCCCACTTTATCCAACTTTTATTTATGACTTCATCATTAAACTCAAATCTGTACTGTGACCAAATGTCAATTTTAGAACACAGGAATTCATTCCTGCTTGTGGCTAACTCGCTGTACAATTCCTCCATTCTCCACACGCTTAATATCACATCATCTACAAAGAAAATTACAAAGTCAATACGATAAAAAGGGCACCTCAGTGTCAACTATATATTTAATTTGTGTAATATACTGGGATATTTATATTTAGAGCTAGACTTATTCTGTTATAATTTGTAAGTTTGTATTATCAAATTTAAGTTAGTTATTTCCTGTTCTCACTGTCTTGGAGCAACTGTGACCACATAATTTCCTCATAGATTAATAAAGTATTCTGATTCTTATTCTGAAATAAGTTCAGTTCATTCCCAAAAACGACACATTAGGTCAGGAGAGACCAAGAGCAATTTTTCTACATTTATGCTTTGTGCACTTTAAGAGGTTTTCTGTCAGTATTTTTAATGTTCTTAAAAATACACTTCTTTCACTCTGTGTGTTTATACATCACTCTGCATTTAATCTCTATCTCCCTCCTCTCACCCCAACTGATCACAGCAGATGGCTGCCCCTCCCTGATCCTGGTTCTGCTGGAAGTTTCTTCCTATTAAAAGGGAGTTTTTTGTTTCCACTGTTGCCAAGTGTTTGCTTTGCCCAGGTTTAAATCAGGTACCACTGTTACTTTATACAGGCCCAGTCTCTGAAATTTTTGATTGCAGCTCGTATATTAGAAATTGCTTCTTCAAGTAGTCAGTGGTCAGAGAGTTTGGGAACTACTGCTCTGTGGTCTTTGCGATTAATTAATTTACCTTTGGTTGCAAGTCAATCTTATATGCTGTTTGTTGAAACTGTCTGATTTCTCTGATGATGTGAGAAATCTGGAAAAAAGGGAAGCAAGGATGTCAGTGACACAAACTTAGCGCAAGTCTTTCATATCAGGAATCGCCTAACATCTCACCATCCTCATCTTTGAGAAGTTGACCAAGTTGTCCTCGGTGTAGTTCGGCGTTCCCTCCTCAATGAAAGCCAGGTCAGTGAGGTACATCCCCAGATAGGGCACACAGGGAGGATCGCAACTAGAATTAAAAAAACAGAGAGAATAAAAACCACTTATCATCCACTTGTGCTGCTTGTTTGCTTTGTGGATCCAGTCTGAAACTATGTCCTTGAACTCACTTCTTCAAAGCCTCTCTGAGGTTTTTGAACCTCCCCTCTGATGAGACCAGCTTCTGCAGTTTGTCAATCAGTGCTTTAGTCTAGAAAAAAATGGTGATAATGAACACGTTCAGTGACAATAGCATGCACTTCAGGCACTAGCAGCAATGCATATAGAGACACGCACCTGCTTGGAAACTTTGAGCCAAGTTTTCTTGAGGCGGAAAACAGAGCTGCGGTTCAGTGATGAGGTGATCTCGAGAACAGCGTTGTAGTTATGTAGACAACGGCAGATATCGGCCACAGCCACCCATTTTTCGATGACTGCTACCCGGGTTACAACATCATCACAGCGGAGGATCTCCGTGGCAATAAGGTTGCTCATCTGACAAAAAAAACGAGAAACAAGTAGTTTAGACTTCATGTTACGTTTGGATAGAAGGGTTCGATGTGTGATAAGAGCTCTTTTTGACTGGAGCGTACGTCATTGAAGTGCTTCGTTGTCCTCATGATATACGGCGTCTTCTCATTTTTGTCATTCTTCATCCAGCCTTGGCCAAAGAATTCCCTGTGAGGCAAACCAACAAAGAAGAAGTGAAGCATGTATTGGTGTGTTCGTGCTTCCTGGCTGTGTGGTGTGATGACACTCACTCGTATGGAATGACCTTGAACACCAGGTGGTCCAACAGAGTGAGCTGCTCTGCAATTTCCATTGCTGAGTGATTCTCGAAGGTCTCAGCTTTCCCCCCTCCCACCTGAAAGACACAAACAGTCCAAAAAAACAATAAAACAGATCCCAAATGATCTAAATGAGCTAATTTGACTTTAGTTTGTTTTAACGTGACAATAAATAATCTACCAAACTAGGTATTTCTGTAGGTTTTGATGCACCTTAGCCTCTAAATCTTTTTTTTTTTTTTAACTTTTATATCTTCAATTTGTCAAGTGCTGGTAAAATGACTTTTAACTAGACTGAAATGTGCTATTGACTGTCTAATTTTCATAAAAGTTTCTGTGATCAAGGACACCAAAATATATACAAAAGAAATCTTTAACTGTTTTATTGTATTTCAATATTTATTTTTGAATTTGTCATCTTTTCAGGCAGAAAAAACCCCCCATCTAGCTGATAGTATTATAATAAATATATTCGATTACACTTCCTGCACCTGTATCTAAAAATACTTTGTGGCATTTGTGAAATCACTGCTTGTCACTCTTGAGCAACATTTACATATGTGCAAATTCACGCACCGTCAAGATTCCAGTCTAATGAATCCCATCTGCTAACTATCAAATAATGCATTAATTGTTTGCTGAATTTATGTCTCATAACTGATCAAAAATATTCAGCATCTATTATCATGGGAGCAGCCAAGTGAGCAGAGGATTGATTTCAAATAGAGCCACGAACAGCAGCTACTCACTTCACTTACCAGTTGTGTCACGTCTTCTATCGCGATCTGATTGTCACCGTGATCTTCCTGAGTTATAGTCCTGAGTGACATGAAAAAGAAGGTCAACCTCTGAAAGATGTACAGCGTAATGACCCAGTAAAATGCCTTTTAATCCCTCTTTCACTCAAACAGCACTCAGCGGTACCTGATGATGTTGGCTGCCGCTTTCCTCTCCTGGGTCAACAGCTCAGGGTCATGCATCACTTCCTCCAAGAAGGCAATAACCTTCGTTTTCAGCTCATTGTTGCTCTCAAAGTCCTAGAGAGGTACAGACAGCACACATGGATGATAGAAAACTGTAGATTTTGTCGTTGATCATCACTGCTCATGAGGTTAGTTTTGAATTTGTTTTATTCTCTGTGGATAATATTCTCAAATTTTAGTCAAAGTTGATTTCCAAAACAATTTCTTTCCTCTGTTAAGGAGAAAATATGCCAGGATGCTGTGTTAACATCTCTGCTATGAAATGCGTTACCGGAGAGTGTTTGGACACCCAGTGCCGAAGCACATTCAGGACTCTGTTGGTTGCCGCTCGTCTGATCACAAACTCTTTGTCTCCATTTCTCTGATCTGTTGGAAAACCTGCAAAAAAAGACATTAAATGAGAGGCACCGAAAGAGAATAAAGTTTAGAGAATTGCCCAACACTTTCTTGGTGAATATACCTGTACTGGCAAGGGACATCCGTCTATATTTTTCCTTGGTAGGGGTACCCTCATTGGCTCCAGCAGTAGCAATAGCAAAGGCGGAGGCAGCAGATAGAGCACTGCGGTTGTTGTCCAGCTCTCGACATGATGACATCACCATGCCGTTGTTGTAGGAAAACAGGGAAAACTCTACACACAAGGACAGTTTAAAAAAATACAAGCCGTAAATGTATATTTATTATTATAACTCAATATACACATAAAGCTGGATGGCCTGTTTTTTCATTTCACAAACCTCCACTAGGGAGCACTGCAGGCCAATGCAAAAGTTTCCCTCCAGACTTTCCTTTACAAAAGGCTTTGATATTCAAGATGGTTGCAGCTAAATATAGCCACTAAATATCAGCATAACAGAGGAATCAACAGATTCTCTGCACTCCTCGATGTATAAATCCCGGGAACACGGATCATAGGCTGCTAATAATCCCACACATTGCCTCACTATTCCAGTTATTTCACATATTCCAGGTAACGCTTCATTTTAAAAACTTATATTGTATAATTCTGTCATAAGATTTGAAAGGCAAAGATAATCTTGGCTCCAGTGAAACAGCCTCATTACTGGGGGCGGTAGGGAAAACACGCTCTCAGTGTAGTTGCTATGACACAAGTTTCCCTAACACCTACTGAAGCCAAGCGTTGGCTTTCCCCACATATTCATAACCATCGAACGACTGATATTTCATGTTACTTATGTTCCACAGTGGCATATTTTTTTTCAGATAGAAATATGACAGCATATGGCTAAACGGGGTTATTTAAAGAGTAAAACAATTCATCATTCTCCTACAGATGGTAAAATATGCTTGACGGCAAGTATTGTCAGCTGCAAGGGTTTTTTTTTTGTCAAGTGCCATCTGTCTATCTGCAAGGTTACACAAAAACAGTTAATCAACATTTTATGAAATTTGGTCAAGACATGGAGCCTGTGCTGAGGAAAAAGCTGATAAAAACTGTTGTGGATCTAGATTACTTAAAAGAAAAAGAAGAAGCAACAAGTCATTATCTTTGGCAGAATTTTCTTTCTTGTGAACAGTTTTGCATGATTCAAAACTCAAAATAATCTTATTTTATATGGGATAAATAAGGGCCTTGGTGTTGGCCCTCTTTCTGAAAGAAGCCACTTTAGCTCTGCTTACTTTAATTCAACTTTCTTCTGATTGGCTGCTGATTTTAAACAGAAGGTTTTAACAGCGGGCGAGTGTGGTACATGTGCTCTCATTGACACAGAATTTTGTGTGTTTTGTATTTTGACACAATTGTTATTTGTGCACATCCTGATCTCATTATTTAGAAATGTAGCTAGGTTAAATACAAGTATTTCCCAGTGTAACAGTATAATGTGATTTATAAGCTCGACATTTCATTTTAAATCATGTACAAGACTAAGACACAATCTACCTGAGGAGTTTTTGCATTTGATATTTTTTGGTGTAGTTGGAGATTTGGTAGGAGAAGCTTCTGGATCCCCGTCATCGCTCTGGTTTTGATCATTATCACTTTCTTCTCGTACAGAGAGATCTGTATCGTAACAAGCAAACGGCAGTAAGTATTAAGCTCTTTTAAAGACATTATTGTAGCAAAGCAGAGTTCAAATTGTACTCTGAATGGCTACAAGTCACCCACCTTGTTTGCATGCCGAGGGGTCGTCCACCTTTTCCTTCTTGTCTTCTCCCTCATCAGAGATTTTGCTCGCGATCGGGCTGGACACATACAGTTTGTTGATGTCCAAGGTGGTCTTGCTGAATGGAGACATGGAGGAATACATGCTTGCATAGCCATTTGAGGAGCAGCTAAGGGCAGCCAGGTCAAGAGCTTTGCCCCCAGTGATGATGGGGATATTGAGAGAGAGCTTGCGACGGCGGTTGGGGGATGAGTTCTTGGCAATAGCGAGAGGAGGAGGGGAGGAGAACTTTCTGCTAGCCCTGGGGGAGCTGGGTGGCTCGCCATAAAGAAGTTTATTATTTTGACTGCTGGCAAAGAATAACTCCAGTGACCTGCATCAGGGGAGGATATAAACATTAGACGTTAGGGCACGTATGTATTTATTTGGTTAAGTATACTCAATATTTTAAGAGCTTAGCAAAACAAACAGAACCTCTGAAATAATTTATGCAAACCAAGTCAGCCCTGCAACCAGAAGTCTCTTTTCAACTATGTCTCGGCTGACTGCAGTGTTTCAGAAAACCCTCTCCCACTCCCTGCCAGCCTCCTGGCGACCTCACAGGTTCCCATAAATAGCACAGTGAGCGATAGTGCGCATGGCCGCTGCTGACACAAGCAGCCAAGAGTAGGTGTCTCTCAGTGACATGACAAGCGCCACGGGAGAGCATAATGCAGGGTGTGGATATAGAGAGCCCTGATCTGAGCTCCACAGCAGGGCCCTTATTCTAGGCATGCAGAGCACAGAGTTAGCACCAGTGCAATCTTTTGCAGGAGGGTGGGGTCCTGCAGCACTGAGGCTGATTGCCATAGAGTGACAGAGCCCGGCTGAGACACTCCCACACAAGCAGGAAGGACTGGACCAATACACACTGATATGTACATAACATACAGTGAAACAGAGTCACCATAGCCTTGTAGCAGTGCCACATCTGCTAAGTCTCTGTGTTTGGATTTAACCAATAAAACAAGCTCTATATATACACACGCTAAGCTCAAAAGATCAATAGACTTAATCGTTTCAGTGTCACATACAGCGTCTATGTACACAAACACAGAGAAACAAACACCCGTGAACACTACACGCATACTGCACCCTCTACATGTCCAGCCTCTAATTCATGATCAAATTTAAATTTGCACCATACAATGAAAGCAGCTATAACCACTACTGTCAAGTTTAAAAGGTTATTGAAAAATAATTAATTATGGGGTACTTTACTGACTGAGTTTGCACTTAGGAGGATGTGCGAGAAACAACAAAACAAACACAGCAAACCACCAAGTTCCATGCTCATTTAACATGAGACCACTGGAAAATATGGATATTTGGATGTTGCTTGGAATGCTTTTTAAAGTCAGTGACTCCTAAGTTGCAATATGTGTATATATAAAAAAAAAAACACCCAGCACGCCCCTGCGGGCGGTTTATCCTTCAAGCTCGGGTCCTCCACCAGAGGCCTGGGAGCTTGAGGGTCCTGCGCAGTATCTTAGCTGTTCCCAGGACTGCGCTCTTCTGGACAGAGATCTCCGATGTTATTCCCGGGATCTGCTGGA